CAGGTGGTTCGCCAGCTTTTGGCGTCCTTTTTCAAATACATGTTACTATACTGCCATCAATTGTGTATGCTGGCCATGTTGGTTCGGCCCCGCAACAGCTTTCAGCGAGAAAATAGTGTGGAATCAATGTACTGTAGTCCCCTCCGTGTCTCTAAGATGCCCTGGTACCTTTTTACCGCTGTACCTGACGCGACATCGGGAATAGCAAACAACATCAAGTCTCAGCTTACACGGTATGCGCACCGTTTTTTGCTAGTGATGGCGCCGTCGGCGATGACACCAACCCACACAACGTATCACTCGACTTATTATTATGTATCTCCCGGTACTACTTTCCCGCCGTCGTGTCTGCCGTCTACAAATGCAGGACAAGAGCACCGATGGCGTTTTCTCGTGGGTCGTCGCCGCCGTGGATGGTCTGTTCGTCAAGGCGAAGGCTCCGTGTGCGAAGGAGACCAAAAACGTCATCGCGTACTACTCTGGCAGCAAGTCTGCGTACGGCATCAACGTGCAAGCGATGTGCACCGCCGACTACCGGTTCTGCGCAATGTCGGTGACCTCTCCAGGCTCGACGAACGACTGGGTGGCATGGAATCGATCTTCCCTTGCCAAAGCCGTCGCCCGCTTGCCCGCCGGATGTCACATCGTTGGTGACGCCGCCTACCCCATCGGACAAAAGCTTCTGACTCCGTACCCTGAGAGGCAACTTGCGGCGGGCAAGGACTCGCTCAACTTCCACCTGGGCCAGCTTCGTGTCAAGATCGAGCAGAGCTTCGGCATCCTGGCTTCGACTTGGGGCATTCTGTGGAGACATCCCCGCATGCAGCTCGGAGGACGCGCGGATCTCATCACAGCCCTTTTTCATCTGCACAACTTCCTGCAAGACGAGAAGGTAGCGCCGATCCAGCTTTCAGAGGAGGACTCCCGCAGCGGACTCAACCGGCCGGCCCTCTGTGCTACCCGGCGCACCTTGCCCGATGGCTGGGGAACGGGGCCGGCTCCTTCGAGGAGCGGTGAGACCCAGGCCCGAGCGGCTATCCGCAAGGCCCTGGGATTGAAGAAGAAGTAGAGGCCCGACTTCTACCTCCAAAGGAATTCGTAAGGACGTATCCAGCTCTGGCGGCATCGCGTGGCGGGCGCACGAGGGGGGNTCTAGCCGTCGTGGCTACACTGAAAGGGCGGATTAGGGTTCGGGGCTACATAGGCGGATGGCGGGCAGAAGTAGGCTCGCTGCCTCGAGGTGGCGGGTCTCGCTTCCACGGTAGGATGAGACGCACGGGAGGAGGGTACCTCGTTGTGGAGGGCGGAGGGCGCTGGACGGAAGCATTTTTGGTGCTGGAAAGAGGGTGTGATGTGTGACATTTTGATCCTCGCTGCCATGTTTTGTAGGTGTCGATGTTAAGCGTTATGGCCATGAGTTTCCGGATACACGTGGTTCATAATGTGCCGGTGCGTGGGTCTTGGTTATGTGTATGTTGGCACCGGGTTGACATGAATCGTGTTTGGACGAGACCGGGGCACGGTAGGTCTAGGAGGCTGCTTGTTTTGGGTAGTNACGGGAGGAGGGTACCTCGTTGTGGAGGGCGGAGGGCGCTGGACGGAAGCATTTTTGGTGCTGGAAAGAGGGTGTGATGTGTGACATTTTGATCCTCGCTGCCATGTTTTGTAGGTGTCGATGTTAAGCGTTATGGCCATGAGTTTCCGGATACACGTGGTTCATAATGTGCCGGTGCGTGGGTCTTGGTTATGTGTATGTTGGCACCGGGTTGACATGAATCGTGTTTGGACGAGACCGGGGCACGGTAGGTCTAGGAGGCTGCTTGTTTTGGGTAGTGCATGAAAAGCGTGGGTGTGTTCGACTTTGTTTTTCCAGTTAGGATCGTATGAATCGTAAGCGTTGTTGCCGTCGATATTGTATCTGTATTAAATTGGTTGTGCAGGGTTATTGTTATACAAATAATCTCGGTTTGCAGCACGCCAGACGAAACCGCGATGGTCGCAAAAAACTCCTTATGGTATCTATCATGCAACGTAATTTTCTTCGCGTGGGTAAAACATTGCTCCAGGTTGCAAACCTGAAGGGGACGCACACACACCCACTAAGAATTGGGGTCTTTTCGAGTCCCATCGCCAACACATTCCTGCGCTTGGAGTGGGAATGCACGGAGACGGCGTAAATTGCAGGGCTCCAAAATGGTGGAACCCAAAGCGTGCCTGAGAGTTACCGCCAACACCCAACGTAGTATTGGGTTGCAAGAACAAGTCTTGCAATCTGGCAAACACCAAACGACATGCATGTACTCAGGTTGGAGGCGCAGAAACTCACCCGTGAACCACAACGGTCTCGGTGTTTTACAACCATGTTACCCTTGAAACTCCTTTGTTGCCGCAAGGCATCCTCGCAATTGTTGTTGCCAACCAAACCCACACGTCTCTGCGGAGCCGCACGTATCCTCCATGGCGATGCTACGAAAAAACGAAGACATTGACTCAACCATGCGCAAAAAAAAACACTAGCCCTCCCCCCCCCGAAACCACAACAAAAAAAAAGTGCCACGGCCCTCGCAAGAAGCAAGCCTTGTCGTGAGGGTGGGAAAAAAAAACACCCTCGGGTTCGTTTGCTGCCGGCGCTGACTCTACCATGCAAAAAAATAAACAACCTGCCCCCCCCTCGGTGTTTGCCATCGGGGTTGGGTTTTCGACGCTTGGCAACAACGTTGTGAAAACAAGCCGCCCCCCCCGGTGACTTCCCCTCCGATGTTTACCATCGGGGTTGGGTTTTCGTCGATTGGCAACGACGTTGTAAAACAAGCCACCCCCCCCGGTGTTTGCCATCGGGGTTGGGTTTTCGTCGCTTGGCAACGACGTTGTAAAACAAGCCGCCCCCCCCGGTGTTTGCCATCGGGATTGGGTTTTCGTCGCTTGGCAACGACGTTGTAAAACAAGCCAATTCACTTCGTGAACTCGGCAACCAGGTTACCGTTTTTTTTTTTTTCCTCCGTTTTTTTTTTTTGGCGGTAACCATAATGGTGGTCGAGTAGATCATGTTGTGCGGGGTGGAGAACCCTCACTCCGCGCAAGGGGGATGATCGCACCACGTTGTGTTAAAATGGTCAAGCACCCTCGAGGCAGTTACACAGTGCTTACAACTGTCTCTGGAAGTGAAAGCACCAGAAAATAAATTAATTCATACGCAGCTGTCATCCGTACGCAAGGAAGTAAGCACAAGATGCCGAACACCCTTAGCAGGATGCAGCGCACCCTTCATGCGACTCGCCGAATATCTCACGGCGCTTCGCGCTTGGTGATGTGAGAGCCTGGTCCGGTGAGAACCCGGCGTGCTCCGTCCCGGCTTTGTAGGGATGCGAGGTCAATGGTCTAACGACTACGGCATGCACGACTATGAGTACACCCCCACCCCCGAAACCACAACAACAAAAATAGCCACGGCCCTCGCCAGAAGCAAGCCTTGCCGTGAGAGTGTAAAAAAAAAACACCCTCGGGTTCGTTTACTGCCGGCACTGACTCAACCATGCGCAAAAAAAAAAATAGCCCCCCCCCGAAACCACAACAAAAAAATATCCACGGCCCTCGCAACAAGCAAGCCTTGCCGTGAGAGTGTAAAAAAAACACCCTCGTGTTCGTTTACTGCCGGCACAGCAGCTTGCCCGTGGACCACAACGATCTCGGCGTCCTTCGATCACATGTTATCCTTCATACTCCTTTGTTGCCTCAAGGCATCCTCTCAATTGTTGTTGCCAACCAAACTCACACGTCTTTGCATCGTCGCACGTATCCTCGGTGCTTAACGCTACGAAAAACAATGGTGACTCATGCATAACAGGAGCACACGCCCACACGCTTCCACTTCGACGATTGCACGGAAGCAAGTCCAGCAGTGCATGTGGGTGTTATTGGCCGCCAAACATCTCCTTCTCGAGCTTTGCTACCATTTGTTCCATGAATATTACTCTCGTCTAGTAACCCGGCCGCTTTTTTTCCTTCCCTTCCACAATCTGCTCCGAATATTTATGGTGGTTGGCGCACATTGCTTTCTGCAGAGTGTATGCAGCAGCCTTGGTATCGAGGGCAGCAGACTTGCTTTCCTCTTCCTCTTGCTTCAAGTGCCACTCACATTTCTCCGATCCGCCACGTGGCAGGAGCGGCTCAATATCTAAAAGTGAGTGCGGTTTTCATGGAAACGGACGTAGCCTCTGCCACGCTTTGCCTTCCCTCCTTCTTTTCTGCTTCGTCCCCCGCCTGTTCTGCTCGTAGAGCCTCGCGCCCTCCCGCTTGGCGGCCGCCCGGCGCTCGGCACCGCCTGTACAGCCATCGCCCTCTCCTGTTCCGTCGTCCTCTCGCTGAGCGTCCTCCGGGAGGAGATTGTTGCACACTTGGTCAAGCTCGGGGTATTTCTCGATTGCGCAACCGAGAATGTACGTGTCCGTGTCCCCTGTAGAAAAGAACAAAGCGCAAAGCGCGGGCGGGGAGGGTCTGTATGGAGCAATTGGAAAGAAGGTGTTTTGGTCTTGCTTCAAAATACACGATAAAAGTTCATGGTGCAGACAATCCTTTTCGATCAGGCCTCAAGGTGGACGTCATCCCGGGAGCACGTTTTTCAACACTGTTGNCAAAGCGCAAAGCGCGGGCGGGGAGGGTCTGTATGGAGCAATTGGAAAGAAGGTGTTTTGGTCTTGCTTCAAAATACACGATAAAAGTTCATGGTGCAGACAATCCTTTTCGATCAGGCCTCAAGGTGGACGTCATCCCGGGAGCACGTTTTTCAACACTGTTGACAACTCCAAGTGCAATATCAAAACTCCGACCGTA